CGGGACGCCCATCCCACAGGCAAGTCCTCGCTCTCCGGGAAGGACGGCGCGAGACCCTTACTTGTTGCACTGTGGAAACCGAGTCAACAACTTCTCCAGCAGCTTTTCCAGCTTATCGGCCGGCTGCAGCCTGTGAAACTCTGGAGTGACGTTAACTCCGCCCAGGCCTGGCGGAGGAGGGATGGAGGCAGCGGGAGGCATGTGAGGGCTGTGCGTGCCAATAAGCGATGCCACCACCGGGCTGTTTCTTCCCTGGGAAGCAGGCAGCGGCGGGGAAGGCTGGTTGGGCCTGGAGATGGCAGGATTCAGGAGAGGAAAGGAGAGTGCCCGGGGATCGGCGCTTGGCATGACCATGGGAACGGGAACCGGTCCGATGGGAAACGGGAGCCTGGGAGTAAGGGATGGGTTGGGCTGGAATGCCGTCAGCATGAAATCTGTCTGAGAAAGAAAAACGGGGGGTGAAGAAAAGGCTGGTTAGAGTAAGCCCACCCGAAAGAGAGACGAGGGCCTTCCTCTGGTGCCGGGCAGGAGGCGGGCTGAGCCACAGCTGCACTCCTGACAGCGAGGGAGGGAGACCCTTCCCCTCCTCTCCAGGGAAGGCAGGTCAGCCCAGGCAGATGGGGACAAGCGCGGTGCTCCAGGGAACGCGATCCCACGCCACCTACCTCAATGCACAGAGCACAGGCGGCGCCAGCTACGGGCCGCCAGCTACGGGCCGGCGGGCAGGCTGGCCCCGCGGCCTCACAGCAACTTCCCGGCAGCGAAAGCTGGGCCGCGTTGGGCTGGAGAGACACTCACTTCCGAGGGTGGAGGTGGCAGCGTTGGGGTTGGGATCTGTGGGAGGCTGCTCAGCTTTGTTCCATTTCTCACCATCTGAATGTGGTCGTTGAATTGATCCTAGCAGAGAGGAAGGAAGCCAGACACTGTTATCAAATCCCACCTGTTTGGTGCCACTGGAGTCGAGAGGATGAAAAAAAAGACCGTAGGGAGAAGCAGAATAACCGCCTCTGTGATTAACCCAGCACACTGCTTTCCTACCCACGTGGCTTATCCGCACGCATGAGCCTGAAGAGGCAGGCAGAAATCTCTGCAGCTGCTCGCAAAGGCAGACCGACCGTGGGCACATGCCTTTCTCCCGGGTCTCGGTCCTCTCCCCCAAGAAGGTTGAAACTAAGCATGCAAAGCAGCGTCAACGCGAACCGCCTGCTGCTAGGCCGGGAGCCATCCAGCAGAAACTTACTCGGACGCTTTCCTTGGTCATTCGTATCCTGTTCAGCCTCATCTCCCACTCCTGCTTCGGCCTCATCGTCTCCAGCGTGGGCGGTGCAGACCTGCAAGCGCAACTAAACTTGCCCTCTTGCAACCGCGCTCTCACTGGCAGCAAAGCGGGAGCAACTAACGCCCCGCAGCCACCCCCCTTCCCCAGCAGGGCTCACGCCCAGGCAAGGAACCCCGCAAGAGAGCGTGTGGCGCTACCGGAGTGCGGACTGAGGCATGGATGCCACAGTCAGTGCCGTGCCTACAGCACTCTGACACATTCAGCAGATGAACAGTAACGGGGAGGAAGCACAGCCCCCCCCATACCCTTGTTTTGCGGCATTACTGAATCACACTAATAAGAAAGCCACAGGAAACCTTCAACTGTTTCAGTCAAACCTCCAGTGTAAGGAGAGGAAGAGGAGATGGGCCCGCAGGGACACCTGAGTTACGCTGCCGTTTCTGAGGCGACGAGGACTTACTTGAGGTAGGTCAGGTGCAGCTCTGCTTCTTTTTCCGCTTCCTCTAGTTTCAACACCAGCAGCTCCTTGCGGCTCTCCAGGGAGAGGATCTAGCAGAGAGAGGCCCCACGTGAAGGGCAGGTTTTGTACTCCCTCCTTTCGTGCTGCCAGACTGCGACTGCGAGCTCTTCACTAAGCACCCTGCCGAGTCAGTTAGTGCCGACTAACGTTTACTGCGCCAATAGCTGCCCATCCCTTCTCCTGTCCCACGGAGAGGGAGACTTGGCCTCATCCTCGACACTCCCTAATTTCACATACTCACTCATTATGACCTGGGATCTTCGAAAGCCTCTCTTCCACAACTGCTTTGCAGGCTAGAAGCCACCTACTAACCTCTGCTTTCCAGGCCCGTTCTGTCTCCTCAAGGATGTTCCTGTTGATTTCATTGTGCTGGTTCTTCAGCTTATCTAGCTCCATCTCCCAGAGCTGCCTGCAGACAGAACCAGAACCAGAACCAGTCAGCCTTAGGCTTAGGTGCTGCAGCGGCGGGGAACAGGAGAGCTGCCCAACTCCCACAAAACCGATCGATCCCTGTAGCTCTGGACGGGGTGCAACCGTGGAAGACTGACAGCTTCCAGACCGTGATGCCAGCCGCGCTGGCGTCAAACATGCTGGGCAAAATGAGGAAGAGGGCATGCCCCTCGGCAGCGTTCAGTCCAACGCCAGGGAAAGCTGCACGGGCCTGAACCAGCGAGCAACCTGAGGCAGCACAGAGCGCTAAGCCCTTCTGATCCAGGAGGAGTTCAAAGCTGGCCCTTTCCACCTGTGTTACAGCAGCATCTGCGCCCAGATCGGGAGCTTCTCGGCCCAGCTTTAAAATACCTTAGCGTGCCCGAGTTCAGAGAGGTTGGGCAGCTGCGGGGAACAGAGAAATAGGTCTGCCCTAATTCTGGGAAGCTGAAATTCAGTCGGAGGTAGCAGTTACAAGCCGAGTCAATCCGCTGAGCATAAACTCCATAATCGTAGGGGATCTTTATGTCACAAGTATCTAGGAGCCTGCTTGTGACTGGGCTCAAAAGAGGATTTAATACAAAGGCTGGGGGCACCAGCCTGCTGGAAGAGAAGACGGAACCTTTAGAGCACTTAACTGGACGACGCTGTCAGACAGCTCTCTAGCCTACCCCAAGGCAAAATGACTGGAAGGAAGAGAGTATTCAAAAGCATTAATCCGGTCATAGACAAAAGCCTTACTTTTCATCGGACTGCTCTGCAATCAGAGAAGCAATCTTGTTTTCCTTCTCCTCCTGCTCTTTCAGCAACCTGCACCAGAGAAAAAGGACAGATGGAGTCACCTACTGGGAAGGTGTTATCGCCCGGCCGCTGATGCTGCTGGTACCGAGTTTAAACAACATATTGGCACAGTTGCGTGCCCACCGTAACAACAGGCTCTGAGGCCTGCAGCGTTCCATAAATGTTCGAAAGCTAACATCCTCCAGAGCAAAAATTTTGCTGTATCATGGCACCGCACAAAGACCGTGGCACAGAACCAGAATCCACTGCAGGGAGCTGTGCCACTCTGACAACACGTGCCCTGCAACTGTCCACCCAGGGGGAAATGGGCTGAGTACATGGAACCATTACTAAAGGAGCTTCACCCGAAAATATCACCGAGTCCTCACAATAAAAAAAACCCAAAACCAATCAGACCTCTACGACATGACGGAAGGGCTCCGTAAAAGTGCAAGTTCACCATCCAAAGGAACCTTCACAAACAACTCACGCCTTCCTGCGCCCCACACCTAGCGAGGTTGTTTGCAAAGAGCACGTAGCCCGTCCAACAGCAGTGCCCGACAGCAGCACCCAACAGCAGCCGTCAGCCTTTCGAACCGTTCGGTGGAAGGCACAGCCAAGCAGCCTACCAGAACAGGACATTCTCAGAACAACTTTTGGCAAGGGCAACGCCAAAGGAGTAGACCCTACCCCTAGCACTGCAACAGAGCAGTCCCACCTCCAGTGGAAAGGCTCTGGATTCTGAAAGACGGCAGCACGCAGAGCTGAGCTGCACATCATCCTTGCTGCACACTGTCTCCACATACAAAGGCGAAGCAATAACCCGCTGCCCAAAAATTCATTTTGACATCTTCGGTAAAGAAAAGGTGCTCTGTCTGCAGTAGATCCATTCAAAACCACATGGGTCTGTCCTAAACCTCGCACCAAAAACACTTGTTGCTTCCAAAACGTTTGAAGCGATGCTCTTCTGCTTCATCAGGTGTAAATCAGGGTTAAGCAATACCACCCCCCACCCAAATAAATACTTTCTTTTCCATACTAATACCTTCTGCCTTTCTCACAGAGCTTCTCAATTTCAGCTTTCAGATCCTGCTCTTTCTGCAAGAATTCTTTCTTTTCTTTCTCCATCTTCTTCTTTGTCTCCTCTCGCTTGATCGTAACATCCTGAATTGCTTTCAGGATCTCCTAGAGTAAAACAAGCATCGCACAATTGAAGAGCAAAATTCCTGAGTAGCGGTTTTCTTTCCAAATCCGTTGTTATTTTAGATTAATGGAAGAGAGATCATGAGATTGCACGCGTCATCAAAATCTCTCTTTTCAGTAGATGCAGATGAGCTATATAGCGGTAATTATGAGAGAGCCAGGAGACAGACAGACAGACAGAAAGACGGTCTAAAGCGCAGGTTCTCCTGCCTCTTCAGAAGGATTTTAAGGGGCAGCAAGTTCTGCTCTGCTTTAGATCTTGCCAGGGGGGTCCTTTTGTCTTAACACGAGCTACCACAGGGCCAGCTGTGCATCACTCATTTAACCCACTGATCCATCAGCCATGGCCCACAGAGATCTAAATAATCACAGGGAGCTAATCCTCCTCACTTCACACCAGTTTCCATTCGGAAAAAAAGCCGCGCCTGTTGAAGAGACATTGCAAGATCACCGGCAGGAGCAGGCGTGCGCACAGGATGCTGCGTTAGGAATTGGGGCCGAGCGGCTCAGCACCCCAGTTTGGGCACAGGCCAGTCCTGCGCGCTGTAAAACAGCGTAGCATCCAAGGGAAACCGCCACGGCTCACGGCCCGCTTCACCCCTCCACAGGAGGTCAAAGCAGCCCGCCTTAACCGTGGAAGCGGCAGTTAAAGAAAAAGAGGACTTTGCCAAATACCTGGTGGTTCTTCATCTCTTCTTCCCTCCGCTGCTGCAGCTGCTTAAGCTGTACCTGCAGCTGATTCTCCACTTGCCTCTGCTTGTCCAACACCTCTTGGTAACGCTCCTTCAACAAAGCCCTCTCCGACATCATTTTGTCCTGCAGCAGAGAACGGAAATTTAGGGAGAACCTTCCCCTTCCCCTTCTCCTGCACTAAAGACGGTGCGGGCAGGGGCAGGAAAGCTCAGCAGGGCACAGGGGCCCAGTAGGTGCCACTGTGAAGAACCACAGTTAAATGGCTTCTGCTTCCAAAGCTCAGCCTCCCTAGACTTGAAAAGATGAAGGGAGGCACTGCCTGCAGCTGCAGCTAGCACTGCACTTCCTCCTTTAAAGGGGACAGCTTAAGAGCTTCCAAGGCTGGTGTTTAAATGAGAAAAAACCAAAAGCAGCTCCTTTGCCCAGGGAAGGGCAGCACGGGAGCGTGAGTGGCAGAGCCTGGACCTCAGGGCAGGGCTTCGATACCCACCAAGTTCTTCTCGATGTCCTGATCTGTGTTCGCATCCATATCGGCCGTCTTGAAGTCAGTCTGTGAAGGAAGGCAATCACTGTTAGACCCTCAGCCCTGCAGCTTCGCCGAGACTGGCCAGACCCACATCACCAACCAGCCCCGGGGAGATGCCGGACAGGGCAGCATGACCTGCCCCAGACTCCGACCACTCTTTACCCACCCTCCGGCCACCCTTTCACCAAAAGGCACAAGA